ACGGAAGCAGCCCTCAGGCCGTGGGCGCTAATGGCGGCGGGCGCGGCAGGCCTGGAGCCTGACCCTCTTTCAGGCGCAGACGTGCCGGAGTTCGAGTCCAGGCACCGCTCATAGGCCTCAGCTCTGTCGCTGCCTTCTTTGAACTTCTATGTCCCAGGCTTAAATGGGTCCTGGAACCCGGCCGGGGAGGCCTGACTGTGGGGCCTGTCTGTGGGGCTGCACCCCTGACCACGAGATACCGGCGCTCAGATACCTACAGGCCTCAGGTCAGGAAGTGTAGCTGCGGCTGGCTGCTCCCACCTACTCTTCCATTCCCATTTCGTCTCTGCCATGCACTACTGATGTGACCTTGGGCAAATCCCTTTTCTCTGAGTGCCACTTACCTTGTTTTAAGCAGGGAGAGTAGTGATAACGATAACGCAATGCTTATGTAGCCCTCACTTTACCTCAGGCATTTAATTTTCACAACAGATCTAGTGGACAGGATCTGTTGTTATCCTGTTGTAGAAATGAAGCATGTGAGGGATGGCAACCTTAAGTCTTGCCCAAGGCCACAGAATTAACTGCAGGGCCTGACACCCAGATGGGGTCCAGCTCTTTGTATTGTCAAGAAAGTGCCCTGACAGAATTCCCTCACTGCAGGATGGAGCCAGGTGAGGAGCTTGAAGAAGAGGACTCACCAGGTGGTCGGGAGGATGGCTTCACCGCTGAGCACCTGGCCGCAGAGGCCATGGCAGCCGACATGGACCCTTGGCTGGTGTTTGATGCTCGAACCACATCTGCCACTGAGCTGGACACCTGGTTGGCCAAGTATCCACCGTCACAAGTTACTCGCTATGGGGACCCTGGTTCACCCAATTCGGAGCCTGTGGGCTGGATTGCAGCCTATGGGCGGGGATACACCCCTAACTCTGGTGATGTACAGGGCCTGCAGGCAGCATGGGAGGCTCTGCAGACCAGCGGGAGGCCCATTACACCAGGTACCCTGCGCCAGCTGGCCATCACCCACCACGTGCTCACAGGCAAGTGGCTGATTCACCTGGCACCTGGCTTCAAGCTGGACCATGCCTGGGCTGGCATTGCCAGAGCTGTGGTTGAGGGCCGGCTTCAGGTAGCCAAGGTGAGCCCACGGGCCAAAGAGGGTGGGCGCCAGGTCATCTGTGTTTACACTGATGATTTCACGGACCGCTTGGGTGTACTGGAGGCAGATTCAGCCATCCGTGCAGCAGGTATTAAATGCCTGCTTACCTATAAGCCAGATGTCTACACCTACCTGGGCATCTACCGTGCCAACCGCTGGCACCTCTGCCCCACTCTTTATGAGAGCCGTTTCCAGCTTGGAGGCGATGCCCGTGGCTCTCGAGTACTGGACCGTGCCAACAATGTGGAACTGACCTAGCAGGGCAACCAAGTGGGAAAGACCATTCTCTGCCCCTGTTGCTGGTGATGGATCCAACTGTCTTCTTCCTCCTTGTCCCAAGAAGGCCAAGTCCCCCCATCTCTGAGAATTAGGTCACTCGGGCACTGCCTGCATCTTCAGCCCCTTGAGCTTTTGCCCTCTTTTCAGGACTGATTCCAGCTTCCACATCCGGGATGCTCTGGCTCCCTGAGAGCTGGAATCTCAGCCACTTCAGTGCTGCTCCCTTCTATTGCCCAGGACCACAGATTGGGTGCAGATACTCAAGAAGAAGGCCTTCCTTGGTCACCCTCAATTCCAACTATACCTCTCCTTCCTGCGTTCTTCCCTCATAAAGGGAAAAACTTAGTGCTTCCAGTCCCTCTCCTTGGAAGCAACATAGTCCAAGGGGCAGGGACCCTGCAGGACTGAGAATGCCATTTTGTAGGGGGTAATTGTGCTCATTCATCCCCTTGGCAGAGAGTGGATGCAGAGTTGAGGACATGGGACCTCCCTGCCAACTCACAGATCTGCATCACTTTCTCCCTCCCCTGGCTGCCTTGACATGTGCCTGTTCCTGGAATTTCAATAAAACCCAGTTTGGGTCTGTGTCTTGAGTATTGTTTAGGGGTTTGTTTTTGTTTTTTGTTTGGGCTTTTTGAGACATGGTATGTCTGTGCAGTTCAAGCTGGTCTTGAACTCAAAGCCCAGGCTGGCTTCCAATTCAGGTTGATTCTCCTGCCTCAGCCTCCCAAGTGCTGGATTACCATGCTTGGTTTGAATTTTTGTTTTTTTTGTTTTGTTTTTTGTGGTACCAGGGATTGAACTTGGGACCCTGTGCTTGCAAGGCAGGTGGTGGAACCACTGAGCTAAATCCCTGGCCCTGGTTTGAGTATTTTTTATAATGCTCTCTTGAGCTAGGCATTGCGGCACATGTCTGTAATCTCAGCACTTTGGGAAACTGAGGCAGAAAGATAGAAATTTTGACCCCCATAGTTTAGCATCCTAACAAGACCCTGTCTCAAAATAGAAAAGGTTTATCAGGTGTGGTGGCACTCAGGAGGCTAAGGCAGGAAAATCGCCACAAGTTTGAGACCAGCCTGAACTACGTTAACGAGACCCTAGCCCAGCATGGTGGTACACATAATCTGAGTACTTAGGAGGCTAAGGTAGGAGGATTGATGCATGTTCAAGGCCATCCTGGGCTACATGATGAGTTCAGGGCCAGCCTGAAGACCCTAGAAAGACCCTGTCTCAAAAACAAAAGACTGGTTCGGGAGGCTGAGGCAGGAGAATCGCTGTGAGTTCGAGACCAGCCCAGGCTATATAGTGAGTTCCAAGCCAGTCTCAACTACATAGTGAGACCCTGTCTCAAACAAAAAAACAAAACAAAAAAAAAACAAAAGACTGGGGATGTAGCTTAATGCGAGGAATCTGGGTTCCCTCCTCAATATAAAAGAAGATACTATCTTGGTGGTTGGTGGGGAGAGGCAGGGCCAGGAGAGATTCCTCCCCACCTTCACCTCAGTAATAAGTTACTGTTGAAGGTGAAGGTGGTTTCCCACTCAGATCCTCTGCAAAGTCAGCCTGCTTCCCATGCATCCAAAAATCAGAATCACTTTCTCCATGGCTCCCCATAAATTTAGGGGTTGACCTTTCTAGGAAGGCCCAAGGGTGCATTTGTGCATAGAAAGATGCTCTCTTGGTCCTGGCAATCCCCAGCCAAGGGGCACAGGTTGAGCAGAGGATAAGCTGGCTTTCAGGACCCTGGGCTAGGCATCCTCACAGCGAACAAACTGCACTATAACTATAGTTATAAGGGATGTCTCTAGAACCCTGTCATTTGTGCTCACCTCTCCTAACATCCTGACCTGACCTTCCTGCTACAGCCACCAGACAGTTTGCAGTGCAGTTTCTCTTGCATCATTGACCTCCCATGACTTCTTTAAGAAGGTCTTGGCCCTATCCTATAATCAAAGAAATTGAGGTCAAGAGGGGAAAGGTGTTTTCTCAGAGTAATTCAGTGAGTTGGACAGAGCTGGGACTCTTGTCCCAGTCCCTACCTCAGGCAGAGTGTGGCCCCTGACCTTGAGGAAGCAGTTAGCTCTTAGCCCACAAGTGCATGCCTGCCCATGGGTGACCTCCGCTTAGGCTGCTGTAGTCTTCCAGAGTTTATCACCCCTAGGAGCCAGGCTCCTGCACCCTTCTTCCCCAGCCTTGCCTTGGTTGTGGGCCAGGGGGGATTGGCAGGGAGCCCCTTGGGATGCTGCTCTCATGCTTTGCCAGGGCCAACTCAGCCTCCAGCAGCCTCACCAAGTTGGAATTTGGAGCAGGGGAGCGGAGATGCCACTGGGCTGACTGGGTGGAAGTGGCTGAGTCATAAGATGTTGGCTCAACCCCTTCCCCAGCTTCCTCCCCACCCTGAGCTTCCCCAGGGCTGAGTCCCTTTAGGCCCATCCTTGGGAAGTTCCCAGAGCTGGTGGTCTTTGAGTGGGATCTGGTGGCTTGCACTTAACCAAAGTGAGCCAAGGCTTGGGGCTGGAAAGGGCCTGGCAAAGCCCTCATGGGCCCTACAAAGATACCCAAGTGGGGTGGGTAGCCCCAGGTTCTATAGCAAAGCCTTTCACACTCATCCCTCTCCATTTTAATGTCCCTGCCTTGGCCCACCTCTCCTTGTCTCCCAAACCATGGCAAAGTCTCCCACTTGTTTCTTTATCCCACACCCCTCTCTCTTCTCCACAACTGGGCCCACAGATCCCCTACAGAGCTGCCTATGTGCCTGGCTACTCACAAC